CACTCTTCTTGTCAGTCAGCTCGACTCACTGGAGAAATGAAATCTGTTCTGTGTGATGCGACTGTCGTTCGGCACGCTACATTGAGCAGCCGCGTTCAGTTTTTAATTGTAGTGTCTGTTCTTTTACTGAACTAAATGATTTTTATTACTATAAAAAATCTAAATGACGGTGGGGGTCGGTGACGCGGAACACCGTATCACCGTCAACACCGTCTATCGCGGCAAGCCTCCGATCAAGTTAAAATACGTTGCAATTTTTTTTAAATTCCACTGCTCAAGTTTTTAAATGCAATAACATGTTGGCATTGACCATTAGGAAATCAGTATCGTTCGACCACTAGATATATTTCGGGTTGATCCACTGATACGTATATTTACGAAAGTGAAATCCACTCAACTTTAGGAACTCCTTAACTGTAGGAGGCTCACAAAAATACACAAAACTGCATAGAGTTGCTTTCATTTTTATTTTTCATCATGTTTATCGTCAGTTAAAGTATATTGCGGCTCTACTACTATGTATGTGTTATATGGACGACTTCGGCCTTTGCATCTCGCTGTTTTTCATCACTCTTTGATTATTACCCTGTTGCAAAAGCGGCAAACTCGAAACAAAAGGCCAGCTCTGTGAAAGAAACGCTTGGGAAGCACGTCTCTCCGCACTTCCTGCTGATGACTGTAATTATCTTAATAAGTTCACACAGCTATTTGCAAGCTGCGGCTGGCTCGACCAGAGTTCAGCACTCAGCGCTGCATATTTAATACATGTATCAGTGAGTCCACAAATGAAGGGCTTGCTTCTGTCATCAGTTCAAAGGCCAGCGGTCTCAGACCGCATAAATAACCAAAAATGATGATATAGATTTCAGTGAAGGATGAAAATCGTTCATGTGTCCAGAGTGATTGGTTTGGCGGGTGGGTGGGCTGTGTGAATAATGTGTGATTCAGTTGTGTTGAAGTCACTGTTGTGTTCTGTCTCCCGCAGGCGTTCACTGCACGCATGGCTTCAACCGCACCGGCTTTTTAATGTGTGCCTACCTGGTGGAGAAAATGGACTGGAGGTTAGTTAGCACACATGAGCACTCACCCAATCAGCACACATACGGGCACAACATCTACTTTTGTTTGCCCACCAGCCGCAGTAGATGGAGAATGCCAAGTCAAGTAAACCAAAAATGGCCCTCTTTGCACACACTATTTATTGCTTAAAATATCTCATTCGACTGGTGGCAGATGATAATTTCAAGATGAAGATGGCCCTCTTTGAATTCATTGCTTAAAATAGCACTTGTTAAAAAAACCTGGCTAATTCATACCATTAACTTTATTAAAAACCAAGTCCATGAGTCTTTTTCTGTGCAGCCTGCGAAGACTACATGATTGAAAGGTGCTTTCTTTCCATTGTTATTTTTTAAAACTGTCTTTTATCTCATCACATTTAATTTAGACTGCTCACAAATTTCATAAAAATATAATTTCCTTGTGTTTAAGCAACTAAATTTAAGGGAAGATGAGCAAAATAACCTGCCACTACGTAAAAAGTAGATGTAAGTTTCAACATGAAGTAATGATATTATAAGTAATTATAATTCATACACCGCCATTCAATTTTTCAGTTATTTGGCAAGCATGCATTAAATTGATCAAAAGTGACAATAAATATGTTTTTAATGTTACAAAAGATTTCTATTTCAAATAAATGACATTTGGACAATGTATGATGGTTTCTACAAAAATATTGGGCAGCACAACTGTTTTCAACACTGATAATAATCAGAGATGTTTCTTGAGCAGCAAATCAGCATATTAGAATGATTTCTGAAGATCATGTGACACTGAAGACTGGAGAAATGATGCTGAAAATTCAGCTGCGCATCACAGAAATAAATTACACTTTAACAGATATCCACATAGAAAACAGCTGTTTTGAATAGTAATAATATTTCACAATGTTACAATTTTTGCTGTATTTTAATCAAATAAATGCAGCCCCGGTGAGCAGAAGAGACTTCTTTCAAAAACATTTGAAAATTAATAATAACAATAAAAAAAAAAACATTTGAACAGTAGTGTACATATACATCATATGGTTATTTTTCCTGGAAATTCAACCCTAAATTGTAAATGTGTTATATAAGCATATAGTAATGCCAGTTTTGTTGAAAGTCCAGTAAATTACATACGTTACAAATGAAAGTGGCATCATCTCAGTGGATTTTCTGTTTTTGTTTGGACTGATGGACACAAATCGAATATTATTCATTACAAATGAATGCATCTGACATCAATGCAATAACAGTTCCACGTTATGCAACTAAATCTGTCAAAACAATAAAAGTAATATTATAAAACAGATTGTTCTGACTCTGAATCAGATGAGCCATTGGAAGTGGTTGCTGCTCACATCAGAAACCGCTCATCAGCGGAATTATTTTAATGCAGCAAGTTGTGATATCGCCAGTCAACCATAAACAACCAACACGTCTGCACTGATTATAATGCATTGCACAGTGAAAAAACAAAGCCCAAAGAATCCGATCAATGAAGCAGTCTGCACTGAAAGCACCTGTCTGTGACACAAGAGACAGAGTAGGCTGTATTTTCAGCTCTGTTATAATACCAAAGTTTTTTTAACATTCATGAAACCTTTCCATTGGACAAAAGGTTCTTTACAGTGGGAAAAAAAGTGGTAACACTATCGAAATAAAGTGTAACCAAAAAAGTTCTTTAGATTATTGAAATGTTCATCACCTTTTATAGGGGACCTATTATGCCCCTTTTTATAAGATGCAAAATAAGTCCCTAGAGTGTGTATGTGAAGTTTTAGCTCAGAAGACCCCACAGATGCTGAATCACCGCAATGTCGTAATTACAATAGGAAACTCTGAATTTAATTAAAGTTCAGCTTTTCTGAGCGGGAGGCTTGTCAGATGAAGAATCAGAGTGGAAGATATGAAAATGTACTACTCTTCTAGTCAGCTTAAATGTGATTAATTTACCCATCATTCTCTGTGGCAACACGATAATGCACTAAATAAAAATACAAGTACGTAAAACATCACATATTGTGTTGTTGTCCCGGTGATCTTTGCCCATAAATAAAGAAAGAAATATGATAATCAGAGTCACTCTTACAGCAAAAACATTGTCTTCTTGTTTCAGAAGAGATCAGAAAAACGCTGCTGACGTCTTTCACTTTGGAAGAAGTTAAAAGTCGTTTCTAAGTCTCTGAGACTCCAGCAGTCTTCACGTTGTAATCTATAAATGGAAAGGCTTGGAACAGTAGTAGGTCTTCCTCGGAGCCATCTGCTGAAATTTCAATTAGAGCGCATTAAAAAAACATGCTTAGAAGTGAAGGCTTTACGTCTATCACCTACGGTCAGTGTTCGTGATTGTAGGGACATGGAGAAAATCAGCAAAGCAGAATATAAAGCAGTGCTAGCCAATACTGTAACAACATATTCAACTGATCCAAATCCAAATTGGACTTTTTTCTTCTAATTTTTAGCTAGAGAGGTCAATGAAAAGTTAATATCAAAACTGAAAAAGATCCTTCCATCCGTAGCACAGACTGGGTTCGGTACGTGGGTGTGAGTTCACAAATGCTGCCACGGCTCGGCTTGGCTCGGCTCGTGAATATTAACTGGGTTACACAGTGTTTGCTCTGTAGGCAGGGTTTGGAAAGAAGGCTTGGCACATGAATACTGATTTCTTGTGACCGGACTATGTTTGTCGTTCCTGCTGTCTGTTCTGACTTTCTCACTGGAGCTTTTAATGCGTCTGTGTGAAGCTGAAAAGTGTTCGGAAGAAATGAAATGGATTTGATTGGTTTTGAGTGCATCTCATCACAGCTCTGTTTTGATAGGGTTGTGGACAGCACTGAAAATATGCTAAATTGAAAAACAACTAGCCTAACTGCAATGTAAAAAAATAAATCTCAAACATCATGAACAAAACCATGCAAAGAAAACATGATTTAGAATGCATTAGGCTAAATACAGGTTGGCTTTCTGCTATTCAGCTTCATGGCATATTAATGTAGTGCATGGGAATATTAGCAGTGTTTGAGTTTTAGGACAGTGGTTTTGGGTGGCCACTGTATCTATATTTTGGTCCTGAAGCCAAAGCAGTTGATCTGTGTAAGAGCACTTCACATGGAGTTCCTCTGGAGTTTGTAAATCCTGTCTCCTCCACACCTGCGTTGGCTAATCGATACTTCATTACGTTCAGCCAAGCATGTTAGAAAAGGAAAAGTACTGAGGAGAAATTTTAATTGTGTAATTGTAAATCTTTCACTATTCTTTAGTTTTTATTTTGATGCCATGCGGTTGTTTTTACCCAAGTTAGTGAAGACATACTGCTGTAGCTTAAAGAAATTCGTCTGTCATTTTTAGGGTGGCTTAGCAAGGACATATGTGACCCTGGAGCACAAAAGCAGTGTTAAGTTGCTGGGGTATATTTGTAGCAATATCCAACAATACCATTGTATGGGTCAAAATTATCAATTTTTCTTTTATGCCAAAAATCATTAGGATATTAACTAAAGATCATGTTCCATGAAGATATTTTGTAAATTTCCTACCGTAAATATATCAAAACTTCATTTTTGATTAGTAATATGCATTGCTAAGAACTTCATTTGGACAACTTTACAGATGATTTTCTCAATATTTAGATTTTTTTGCACCCTCAGATTCCAGATTTTCAAATAGTTGTATCTCAGCCAAATATTGTCCTATCCTAACAAACCATACATCAATGGAAGCTTATTTATTCAGCTTTCAGATGATGCATACATCTCAATTTCAAAAAATTGACCCTTATGGCTGGTTTTGTGGTCCAGGGTCACATTTTATGTCATATTTTATAAGACAGAAGCAGATTCCTCCAGTTTGCTTTTGTAGTGATGCCATGAATATAAACATGATATCTGGCAGCCGGTTTAGCTCTCTTATCTCATAATCACTGATGCATTAATAATGTTTATTCAGTAGACTTTGAGCTTTATTATAAGTTGGTGATTCTGCACTAATTAAAAAAAAATTAGATGTCTAAAATCCAGTTGAGATTTGAGCACAATTCTCTCTCTCTCTTTTGTTTGGCATCTTACTATTTTTCTTCAATGAATTTCAGAGCTCATTGATATTTATTGCTGCATAAAAGTGCATTTCTTTAAAATTTCATTAATTTTATCTTGACTTTTTTTCATACAAAAATATAAAGGAATTTTGTATTTTTTTAAATAGAATTAAAGACAACCAAGTTATCTTTATGCTCACCAATTTAAGCATAAGAATTTATTTCATCAAAAATACAGTATAAACAGTAATATTGAGAAATATTATTACAATTTATTGTAACCTCTTGAATAACCTAAAACTTTTTTATTTTAATGTGTTGTAAAATGTAGTTTATTGCTGTGATGTGCAGCTGTATTTTCAGCATCATTACTGCAGTCAGTTCAGTGTCACATGATCTTCAGAAATCAGTCTAATATGCTGATTTGCTGCTCAAGAAACATTTCTGATTATCAAGGTTGTCAATATTTTTGTGAAAACCGTGATACATTTTTTAGGATTCTAAAACAAAACTGGAAATCTTTTGTAACATTTATAAATTGTCACTTGATCAATTTAATGCATCCTTGCTGAATAAAAGTATTAATTTCTTAAAAAAAAAGTACTGACCCCAAACTTCTGAATGGTAGCATAACTAATGTAAGTACACGTGAATTACAGAAATATTTAATTTAGTTAAGAAAATAAAATAAGACAAACGCATACATTTAAAATATATTAAATATCAAACATTAAAACAAGAAAATAGTTTTCATTTCTTTCTTTTAATTGGTTTATTTAAGAAATTAGCTACACATCAATCAGCATTTGAATCATTTTAATATGCATGTATTTTGAAGCAGCACTCAGGGTTGGAGATAGCTCTTTCTGACAGCATGAGTGTGTGTTGTGTGTTTTGTGGTGTCAGTATCGAGGCCGCTGTGGCAGCGTTCGCTCAGGCTCGACCCCCGGGCATCTATAAAGCCGACTATCTGAAGGAGCTCTTCCGCCGCTACGGGGACGTGGAGGACGCGCCGCCCGCCCCTGCTCTCCCCGAATGGTGCTTCGATGACGAGGAGGAGGATGAAGATGTGGACGATGATGGGACTGCCATCGCTCAGGGCTCCGAGCCCAGCTCCTCTCACTCCAGTCAGGGCAAGAAGAAGAAAGAACGGCTAAAACTGGTGAGAGAAACTCATTTCGGCTCATTCTCTCATAGTCTTGAAGGAAAAAGCCTGGTTTAATGCAGCACAGCTCATCTCTGACAGTGTGTCAGCTCGATATAACCTGGACTGTTCTGCTTAGTGTCCCGCGTATCAGCGTCCTTTCCTTCTGAGTGTGCAGATGTGAGGAGTGTTTGTTTGTTTGTTTGAGAGAATTGTGAAATAGATTTTCATGACTTTTCAAAAACTTTTTGAATTTATTTATTTTTTACAAAACTTTCTAGGCCTGGGAATTGCTGTTCAATGACTTTTCCAGGTTTTTCATGACCATACGAATCCTGAATGTGACGATCGGGTGCGGTTATCTAAATCAGAGAAAAATATAGGAGCGGGCGGTTGGCGGGTGGATAATTTATTTGAAGCTGCGGATTCGGATGACGTTTTAGCTCATCCGCGCATCACTAATTCTGACGTACAAACGTCAAACTAATTCTATAAAAAAGTAATCGGCATTAAATAGGATGGGGACATTGTTAGTTAATTGGAGGCAAGAATGGGGAGGGTTTAAGTGACCAGTGATTGGAGAAGTCCAGCATATGTGATCCGAGAGAAATCTGTCATTTCACTTGAAGACAGAGTGATATTTTTAGATGAAATATTCAGAAGTTTTCGGCGCTGATAGCCTAGGGGGAAGTGCGCTGACATATAACGTCCCGAGTTCAAATCCCGCTTCAAGGACCTTTCCCGATCCCACCCCACTTCACTTACTGTCTACTCTACACTATCCTGTCTTAATAAAGGCAAAATGGCAAAAATACATCTTAAAAAAAAAAAATTCAGAGGTCAGGTAACACTTTATTTTTAGCGTCTCTTAACTAGTTGCTTATTAGCATGCATATTACTAGAATATTAGCCATTTATTAGTAGTAATTAAGCACATATTAATGCCTTATTCTACATCCCTAATCCTACTCAATACCTAAACTTAACAACTACATTACTAACTATTAATAAGCAGCAAATTAGGAATTTACTGAGGGAAAAGTCGTAGTTAATAGTGAATAAGTGTTCCCTATTCTAAAGTGTTACCAGAGGTCAAATAAAAAAATAAAAGAAGCACATGCATGGATGAGCAGTCAATCAATAACATGCTTTAGAAAACAGATATGGTGAATATCTATGATATAATGAAGAACATGCTATTTGTGCCTAATAAGTAATGGAAAACATTTCTGTACCCTATTAATGGAAAGCACAGCCGTGATTACTTTCATTGATGAGTGGAGATCAGTTAAGACGACCCAGCAATGTGTCCCATAATCCCATGTGTTTATTTTTCTGTGCCTGTCTGTCAGATCGGGGTTTCCTGGTGCTCAGCCCGTATCGATGGACCGCAGGAACATTCGTCTGTTGGAGAAGAACGTTTATAAAGTCAGCTGGAAAGCAGACGGCACGCGGTGAGTCCAGCGACTGAAGCACTGTGCTGTTCACACGCTACGCTAATACAGCAACACAAACGCTTCAAGCTAGGAGAGCTGCACATGCTGTTGTGTTCCAAAACCACTGTGGCATCTCACTAGAAAAACAAAGAAAGATAGCTTAAAAAGGGATATTAAAATTATTATAACTATTTAAAAATTTTTTTAAAGAAAAATGTAGTTTTTACGATTTTCCTTATAGTTTTGTGGCTATTTTTGACCACCTCCTCTCTAACTCTTCTAATTAAGCAGGCTATTTTTGCAATATGCAAATGAAGTGCATGAATTTGCTGATTACTGAATAGATGATATGTAAATGTGAGAGGTCATATGTTAATGAGATCATGGTTGTGTTGTTAAGTATAATTTAAAGTTTAAGTAGTTTTTGCAGCTTGGATTAACTAATGCTTTCATTTGGAGGGGATGTTTTTAGTTACGGTAATTACATATTCAAAGTGTCAGTTTTTTTTTTTCTCGTTTTTTTTCAAGAGAATTTTATTTTTTATTTTTCAACAAGGATGCACTAAATTAATCAAATGTGACATTAAAGAACTTTATAATGTTACAAAAGGTTCTTATTTCAAATAAATGTTGTTCTTTGGAACTTTCGATTCATCCTGAAAAAAATGTATCACAGTTTCCACAAAAAATATTTGGCAGTTTTCAACACTGATAATAATCAGAAATGTTTCTTGAGCATCAAATGAGCATATTAGAATGATTTCTGAAGGCTTTGCATCACAGGAATAAATAGCATTTTAAAAATCAATTAAATTAGAAAACAGGTATTTTAAATTGTAAACATTATTTCACAATATATATTTGTTTTTACTGTATTTTTGATTAAATAAATGCAGCCTTGTTGAACTTGATGAAACTTCTGGTTTGGAGTGACCAACTTTTATTATTATTCACTTTATTATTATTTTAAAGGGGTCATATGATGTTGCTAAAAAGATTGTGTGTGTTATTCAGACACTTTTCTGCACTGAAAGCCAGAAGTCAGATTTAGACGAGATGAATTAAATCTGACCATTTTATTTATTTATTTTTTGTTCTTTTTGGCTCCCTTTTTTTTATCTTTTAATTAAAAAGATTTTAGTTAACACTGATAACATTAATGCCTACATAATATCAGCTGTTTTCTTTTAAAAAAAATTTCTTTTGATGATCTTATTTATTAATTATTAGCTTTCAGATGATGTATAAATCTCAATTTCAAAAAATTGACCCTTATGACTGGTTTTGTGCTCCAGGGTCACAAATGACCTTCAGTGTAATTTTCTTGTGCTATTTCTATAACGTCGGAGTCTAGTGCTCATTTAATGATGGTCCAGGTCATTTTATGGCAGCTCTGCATGAGCTTGTCTGCTGTAATGATGTGAACCGTCTCTCTCAAACGTCTCCATGAACATCATTAAACACTCATCCATAAGACATATCTGCTCAGAAGCACCACAACTGGCACCTTGCAGCATGTCCTATGGCTTGGCAGAAGCGAATGAGCAGGTTTGGTGTGTCATAGTGATCCAAATTCAGTTGAGAGTTGAGCAGAACAGCCAGGGCTCTCTGACAGAGGAGACGTTAAAAGACGTGGCTGATCTCTTTACCTGGAGATCTGTTCTAACAAGCCCATTATCCTGTGCTTTGGCCACTCGGGGCTTACAGAGAATCACTGTGTGATGTGTTTGCTCGGCGGACGTTTAGCAGAGCGCTCTATAATAATGACCAAACGGCAGCGAATTAAAGGAGCTTAAAGAAACGACGAGGACTTATGATGTGTTTCTTTTTTGTTGGACAATTGTTGGTTTTTTGGGGCTCTGATATCACACCAGTTTTCAATATGTGGTGAATTGTGGTTAGTGGTCGACCGATATTGGTTTTTTGACTGCCGATGCCGATATCTTGGAAAGCAGGGTGGCCGATATAAAGTCGATATAATTGTATTAATTTTAATTAATATTTAAGAAATTTGAAATCATTTGAAACTGGATTAAAAAATACATTTGTATAATAAACATACTCATACTTTAGATGACAAAGTATTTTCCACAAATAAATAAATATTTAATAAAAATATAATTAAAAAGGAAGTAAACTGTAACCAACAGAGCACTCAGTATTCTGGGAAGTTTGTGTGCATTGGGAATCATATTTTTTCCAATAAAGCCAGGGTAACAGTCATTTTACATACAGCACACAGTGAAAATGACATGAATATGACATGGGCAAATGCATAAATCAGCATAGTTTGAAATCACGTATTTAATGTTTAAAGCATTCAATTTGCACGACTGAAAGTCACACAGAGAATACGCAAACATGCAGGTCACATGCACACTTCACAAAATCTCACAGCTGGATTCGACTAAGTTTGCAAGGTTTGTGAAATTACATTTTCATTAGCCATTCAAAGATTTGTTTAAATTATGTAAATGCGTATTTGCTGAATGCTGACGGCAAACGAGCAAGTATTGTAATGTTTGCCTTTCTATTACTAATAATATAAAAGCAATCATTATAATACTTTTTGTGTACTTTTTAATTCCTTTGTTTAACAGTTCTGTCGGATTATTAGACAGACTTCTATCCGTAATACGTATTAGACAGAACTGTTAACGACGACAGCGAACAAGAGGGAGAATGTGAGCACTGTGTGCCCAGGCGCTGCCGTTCTCAGCGCCGTCAAAATAAAAGTCCCGCCTCGAACGCATCGGCCAAACAGAAAAACTTATCGGCCAATGCCGATATTTGAAAAATGCCAAATATCGGCCGATATATCGGCCTTGGCGATATATCGGTCGACCACTAATTGTGGTAAAGGGACCAGTTCTCACTATTAACTAGATGCTTATTAGCATGCCTATTATTAACATATTGGCTGTTTATTAGTATTTATAAAGCACATATTCTGCATGAGCATGTTCTACATCCCTAATCCTACCCAATACCCTAAACTTAACAACTACCTTGCTAACGCAGCAAATTAGAAGTTTATTGAGGCAAAAGTCGTAGTGTCTTGCCTCAAAGCTGCTTGCTAGGAACTGTTTCCTTTGCAGAAGCTTTGCGTTTAGTGAGCTAAAAAACTAAATAAACTCAAATCAATATCCAGTTATTCACTTAATTGCCAAGTAGCTGTGTATTAAGCAGCTTAATGTGCATTTACTTGTTTTTATCACAAAATAACCCCCTTCGCTTCACTCTGGGGTCTTGATCAACCTGTAGGAGTTTATTTTGCAATTAAAAACTGGCCTGATGTTCATTATTCCTCACTTCTATAACATATTAGTAGTTCATTAACATTTGAATCCAGTGAAACCATGTGCTGGCATTGTGTAAGGAACAGAAATATTTGAAGTTGTTATTCACTGAAAATCTTTCCCTCGGCTGTAGCTCTCAAATCGCATTTGCGCATATTTGCATTTGGCGCGTGAAAACACATTGCACTTTGATGCCAATGACACAGAAAGTCATCGATTTTCATTTGTCACAGTTAAAGTGAAAACGTCTAATTAGGTCTATAGCTTTTCCGTAGAAAACATTCTTTTAAAGTTGAAAAAAGTTGAAGTTGAAAGTTTTTAACGATTTTATGATTTTGAAATGTGCATTGTAATGTTTAGTTGGAGTTGTTGTGTCTTACACCCGTTTTTAAATATTTTATTATTAAATAAATGTGAAATATTTCTGAATATCTCCAAAAGCAGAGATTTTAGAGGATTTTTTCCTACGCTTTTCATTTTGGCATGTGGGCAGACACTAGGCGCGTTTCCATTATCCTTCAAATTGCACAAATTGAAATTGAAAATTGAAAATACGCCTAATGGAAACGCGTCAATTTCGCAAAAAAGCCCATATATCGCAAAAAAGTTTTTACGTTCGCATGAGATGGTTTTTCAGGCAATGCGAAAAAGGAATAATTCGCAAAACTGCAATGGAAACGGCTTTTTCGCATTTACAGGTCACATGGCGTATGTAAAAAGTCATATGATCATTCTTCAACGTAACCTCCAAGAAACACTTCATACATGGCCGCTCTCCAGTATAAGGGGCTTTCCCTACCATTAATGCTTAGACAATTTACATGACTTATCGCAAGAGGCAAAAGGTTACATTTTAGTCGCATAACATGGGTTAATGGAAACGCCGTCATTTCGCAACACTTTTTTATCGACATTTATAAAATATCGCCAAAGTTTTGCTAAAATCTGTAATGGAAACGCGCCTAATGACAGCGTTTGAGACAACTCGATTTGCTGTTGTAAATACACTACAACCAGGTTTATATATCAATCATCAATAAATGTAGTTTGTTCCAACCTCATACATTTCAACTATCTTATTGCACAGCTAGCTATGCTTTAACCATGTGCATACTTTTAACTGAATACATGTAATTTTCTTCACAGTTAACAGATATATGCTGATTCTGAAGAATTTAAATGCATGCATTTTGGAAATATGATTTAAATAAATGTAAATAGATGCAAATAGTTAATAATAAATTATGCTATGATTTTTTTAAGTGTACAAATTTTTGCCGTTTCTTATCCATCTCATTTATGCATGACTGACAAATATGAATCACATTAAGTTTATTAGTTTATGGTAAAATTGTGTAATCCAAATTGTTGAATTTTTTTTTAATGCAATTCAAATGTATAAATCTTCAATTTTAGTCATAAACATTTTAAGAAACAAGACTCCGGCTACAGGTATATTTGGTAGCTGTTCCAGCCTGACGTGAGGATTTCAACAGGGCATCGCTTGAAGCCAGCCTACTTGGCATTCGTTTTCTTAAAGGTGCGGTCACATTTAACAGTGTTAAAGGGTTAGTTCACCCAAAAATGAAAATTAGCCTGTTATTTACTCACCCTCCAGCCATCCTAGGTGTATATTACTTTCTTATTTCAGACGAGTCCAATCGGAGTTATATTAAAAATTGTCCTGGCTCTTCTAAGCTTTATCATTGCCGTGGGCGGGTGTTTCTGTTCAACAGTCCAAAACACGTTAAATAAAGCACACGCATCCATAATAAAATGTGCTTCACACGGCTCCGGGGCATGAATAAAGGCCTCCTGTAGCGAATCCATGCGTTTTTGTAAGAAAAATATCCATATTTCAAACGTAATAAACACTTTTCTATCACTTCCGCCATCTGTCATACGCTGAAGCGGTTCCGGCGGATGACGTAGCACGTTGGCATTGCGTGATAAGTGATGAGCGCTGAAAGAGAACAAAACAAAACGCCGGTCACGAATTAGAAGTACAATCTGAGTATTTGTAAAGAAAAATGTCGGAGGATTTCAATATAAGCCAAGAGGAGACTGGTTTTCCTTTGCTAAAGTAAGGAAACTTTGCTTCCTTAAACAAACTCGTGAGACTAGCATATCTCAGAGGCGCGTCCTACGTTATCCACTGGAACGGCATGTGGGCAGAAAAGTGTTTATTACGTTTGAAATGCGTATATTTTTCTTACAAAAACGCATGGAATCGCTACTGGAGGCCTTTATTCATGTCCCGGAGCCGTGTGAAGCACATTTTATTATGGATGTGCGCACTTTATTTAACGTGTTTTGGACTGTTGAGCAGAAACAGCCGCCCACGGCAATGATAAAGCTTAGAAGAGCCAGGACAATTTTTTATATAACTCCGACAAGATTCGTCTGAAAGAAGAAAGTCGTATACACCTAGGATGGCTGGAGGGTGAGTAAAACACAGGCTAATTTTCATTTTTGGGTGAACTAACCCTTTAAGTAAATTTTCTAAATTGAGTGATTTCGATAGGAATCCATGCAATGAGGACTTTAGCTTGAGTTCGAAAGATTTTGTGTTTGGACGTACAAATTTGACGCATTAACAGAAATCTGCTTGGTTTGAATGTGACTTCTGTGTGAGCTGTGCTTCATACATCACTATGGACAACAGACAATGGACTCTTTTGCCCATGAAAGTTTGTTAATGTTACTGAACCTGTAAATAGTGCTGTCATTGTACATGTGCAAGCCTCCGTTTGAGCCTATGGAAACTTTGGATCTACAAACCCCTTCACGCTTCACTAGTGATGTTCACGATCTATCGGTACATCCGTCATGCATTCAGTTTGCTCTGGATGGATCTAAAGTTATTTTACATCCCGATGCAGCTTATATTCCTTTCTCTTTCAGCTGCCTGCTTTCTCAGGGCCTCCTTTTGCTTGGTGTCCTGTTTGTAGAGTGGCATGCAAAAGTTTGGGAACCCCTTGCAGAAAACTTTTGAACAGGATGAAGATGTCCAAATGTTTCTTATTTTGTTTTGGTGGTCTTTGTTAGGATCCTCAAGGGGTCCATAATATGCTCTCTATGCCAACCCTTTTGCGTAATCATCAATCCAAAGTTTGACTTGTACAGTAAATCTTGCACAGTTTTTAACAAAATTAGTAATACGAAGTCACGCAGAAAGTACCATGCAAACAATTTTTGCCAACGTTCCAAATTAGCGGTTATACAACCTTTAACAAGGACAGCCAAAAACAGGAACACATATATATATACATATATTTGGGGTAGGGGTAAATTAAACTCAATCACCTCACTGTGTCTCTTGTGTTTTTACAGGTACATGATGTTGATAGATGGAAAAGACGAAGTCTATATGATTGACAGAGACAATTCGGTCTTTCACATAGCCAACCTGGAGTTTCCTTTCCGGAAGGATCTTCGCATCCACCTTTCCAACACGCTTCTGGATGGGGTGAGTTATTGCATGGTTTGAAAGCCTGTTAATCAGGTTAAACAGAGAGGAAGCGCTCTATTCCTACACTTAATGGACGCTCACAGGATTGGTTTTCATGAGATGGTCAAAAATAAGGCGGTGTTGTGAGCTAATGTAGCTTTCTTTAAATGATAAATATGATCTTGCTCTCAGAGCATTTATCAGCTCACTCACAACATCATGGGTTGAAATGCAGAAATAGCAAGTTTATTAATTAAACAAGGTTTAATTAAGCATTTTTGGTCCAGGTTTTACTTTGAGTTAAGTTGTGTTGCACCACCTAATTTTAAAAATGGTTTAAATTATTAAACCATTGTGATTGTGATTGAAATGATGCCATGATGGAATCACTATTGCAGTAAACAGTAGAAATGTTACTATTTCATTTCATTAATGAGTGTCTATAATTGGGTTAAGCAATCATATTCATGTATACTGCCGTTTAAAAAGTTTGAGGTTGGTATCTTCTGCTCACCGGGGCTGCATTTATTTGATAGAAAATATAGTAAAAACAGTAATATGGTGAAATATTATTACAATTTAAAATAACTGTTTTCTGTGTGACTATCTATTAAAATATAATTTATTCCTGTGATGCGCAGCTGAATTTTCAGCATCATTACTCCAGCCTTCAGTGTCACATGATCTTCAGAAATCATTCTAATATGCTGATTTGCTGCTCAAGAAACATTTCTGATTATTATCAATGTTAAAAACACTTGTGCTGCCAAATATATATATGGACCTAACTGTAATTCACAAGACATGAAAAATACTGGTATCAATTAATAGAAGCAAATAGTGGGATAAAAGTTGAAAGAGCACATATAATATGATGAGGATGTGGCGAGGTTCACGGATCAGCTGTGTCGTGTCCCTTTGACTGCTGTCCTGCATGTTCCCATAGTGCAGTAATGATCCGCTGTCTCTTCCTCCCATGCATGCTAAATCTGTCCTCTAATGTACCGCCTGCCCATGTCACCACCATGAGACCCCTAATCCATCCTTTTAATAATTTATGTGCATATTTATTTATTATAAATAGAATAGATCTCAGAGGCCTGCCCTGTCTGCCACTTTTAATTGTGCAGTTATGTCCTTTAAACCTCCACAGCAGCCAGCTTGAAGTTAATCCCTAACTGAAAACAAAAGGATTCAAGTTCATTTAAGTTCAATTAATTTAAAGTTAATTTAGATTTATCGTAAAATGAGTGGTATTTTTTAATGTGAACCTGATTGTTTTAATTATTCGATAAATCGTGACTTAATCTATGTTTAAGATCAGTCTTTATTTGTGCAGGCCGCCCTGAGAGTAGTTTGGTAGTATATATGCCAAACCCCTCAATTTAAACTTGAAATGACTGAAAATGTTGAAGGTCCATGATTTTGTCGAATTGATTTGAATAGAAACGATGTCTCTTCGATGCATCATGGGTGCTTACTCAAGTCCTAACAGTGATTTCAAAACACCTCGAGAACAAAACGAATATTCGATGGACTGAACGAAAAACAAATTAACGCTGGTACAGTGGATGGATGCCCAAATATAACACCTTTGACACCTTTAGCTGCTCTGCTGTGTGACTGAAAGCACCACAGAAACAAGGTTATCACTTTCATCATTAAACATAAGAGCGATCCATGTTCCCACTGGATTTATAAAATGTGCTTTTGACCAGTGTAAAGGTCACGGATCAGCATTGCCTGAGTACAGCTCACAGATCAATGTTGATTCATTGATTATTACGATTACTCTCTGCAGGCTTAGTCAAAACTTTTCTTTGTTTAAAATTTTTGAAAATCCTATATCGTTTAATATACAGGTTTAAATGAAAAAACATTACCGATTTCATTGATCTCAGACATTTGGACTCCATTAAATTAACACTACTATTCTTTAATTTGTGTCTGTGCTTGAGCTTTAACACTAAATATCTTATTTAGATTTTTGTTATTACATTGTTACATCATGTTGGTGTTCACAGGCTTGATTTATGGGCAATATATCTGCATTTCTTATCGTCGTCTTCTTGTTTTGCAGGAAATGATTATCGACAAAGTGAATGGGCAGCCCGTCCCGCGATACCTCATCTATGACATCATTAAATTTAACGTGAGTGCCTTTCAGTAACAATAACAAAAACACACTCCTGTTTGCGCTTTATTTAACTAAGAATTGCTTTTGGCATTAGCACATGCTAAATTACCACGAGGTGTTTCAGCCAACGTTTAAAATCATGCCATCTTTTATTATCCATCATATCATATCTCCAGATCTCTACGACTATCTTTTGTGAATCACAGAAGGAAAGGTTTAGTGTCAGATACTGTCAGCTCCAGAAAGAACCATAAAAATATAATAAAAGTAGCTCATATGACTATTTTACTGCCTCTCCGACTCATCTTCCCCTTCATTGCAGCTCTCAGATTTAATTCACAAATGTTACAGAAAAAAGGCACCTTTAGACACAGCAGGCTTGGATTTATTAATGATCTTCCTCTAATTAATAATTGTTTTTCTTTAGAATATGTGGAATATAGCACATGAATCAGGTGCATATTTTGTCTTTTCTAAAGTTTGTCTATATAAGTCCCTGCATACATTTTTGTTTGTGCACAGAAGAAAGGAAGTCATATAGGTCCCATTTTACCTCTATAATTGAACATATTTCCTTGTGCAAGGAGATATATCAACAAGCTGCTTGATGGCATCATCCAAAATAGAAATCAGTTAAATTCGTTTTGTATCACACTTTTTTACAATACATTAAAAAAAGCTTTATATTAAGTTGGATTTTGAATCATTCACAATAAGCAATGTGTATTAGGACAAAATAGGGTCAGCTTTGATTTCACGTTGACTGGATGCTAATCAATTATGTTGTTGAGCTCATTTTTTAAGTCATAATTCACATCCATCTTAGATTTGGGAGGAATGAGTAAATCTTTGAGTTTTCTTGCATCAGTTTCTGCTTCTCGAAGTGCAGTATCCATCAAATAAATCCAGGCAATCACATGATGCACAGTCTGCATTTGAGACAGGACGCTTGGATTTGTCTTGCTTGGTTACCATACTGAAAGGAAAATTTTTCCAAAATGCAGCTCTGATCCGTCATTTTTAAGATTGATGCCATAAGCAAGCAGTGTGTAAATATAGACGGCACATTAATTGAGCTTGTCCAATGATGTGTCGAAAGACTCAGTTATAGCACTCGCATATGCACTTTGCATGTGTCATCAGCTGTATTTATTACATTTTTATTTCAAATATGAGTATATTAGAGACTAATGCAGATATGTTTCCTAAAGTGCTGTTTTGTGGAGCACAGCTGGAGTTCTCATCGACAAACAGCATGTGGGAGATCCTTGAGTTTGCTGTGTTTAGCTGCTCTCAGCATTAGTAATGCGGCCCGTCCTTGTTCTGAGAACAAGATTGTTATCGATTTGTAAACTAGAAGTGACCCGTGTCCCTCCACATGCTCTTCTCTTACTCCTCTTACGCAACAGAATTTAAAAAAATGTATAAATATATATTTATTAGGGGTGTAACGGTACACAAATATGACGGTTTGGTACGTACCTCGGTTTTGACGTAACTGTTCGGCATGGTTTCGTTACAGCAGGAGGGAAAAAAAGTTACATAAATTGCTTTTTTTATAAATTAAACAATGGTTTACTGAACAAATTGCTCTTTCTTTAAATATATTCAATTATAATTACGATTTTCTTAGGGATAAAAATCTACCTCAGCTTATGGTCTCTAAACTATAGTGAGCCCTTTTACATTACTACATTACATTTAACAACAGAGCCCAAAATTTAATTCAATTACTATTTATTTTTAGCTATAATAATCAACACTCAAATTAAAAAAATTGTAGGCTATGCAAACATGTAAATTGTTTTTTTGAATTAACTTCTAAATTATACAATTTCTATTTGTTGTTGAAATATGATCATTTACAGAGTCAACTTGTTTCATAAAATATTTATTTAAACATACATTAAATAATTAAGATATCACTAACAGGTAAATTAAAATATGAAGTATAGTCTAATATTTTGCAAAATGCTCTTCATTAGACTTAATTTCTCTAGCAAATAACGACACTGTAGACACTGATGACTAGCCTGAGGTAAATGAAATGCTATGTGACATTTTGTTTACAAGCGGTTTTAATGACGTCTTTGAAACACTACTTGAGCGATTACATGAAGCATGAGATGTTCATTCATGTTTATTTCGTGTAAAACTAGTAATAAAGAGGAAGGGATGATCACGCTCACTCTCACTCCGCGCTGCCTTTAGAACTAGAGATCGACCGATATATCGATTTACCGATATTTTCCCGATATTTAAGCATTTTACAATAATCTGATATCGGTTTTGTAATATCGGATTCACCGATAAACGCCGATAAATCTTGTGGATGTTTTGAGAATTGCGCGCAGGATCACCATTGCAGCGCGTCTGAGTGAAAACGACAAAAACATTAGTAATTCTGTTATAACATACCAGTTGAGAAATGCAATAAAATACGATGTTTTGTTTGTTATATTTCAATATTCCAGAGAATATTATTCAGTGAATTAACATTATCCAGTTAATTATTCTTCACTCTTTAGCCTATTAAACAGCTTGTAACCTACTAAAACTGTAGTTTAAAATGAAGTTGATATGACTCATTTCATTTATTTATTTTCTCCATTTGAAAACATTAGACCTTCTACATTTATTTTGCTTATTGTTAATATTAGTGTTGCTGCTGATGCTTTAAATAAAATGTTTTTTTTTTTATTGTTGTAATAAGAAGATTAAATTTAACATGAAAGAAAGCAAATTTTCAACACTTAAAAAAAAACGGTCGATCACTATTTAGAACTGAGGAGTTTATACAGCGATCTGTCTCGCCACATCAAAGAGCGCCAAAACGGCATTTATTGTCTGAATTAAATGGAAAAAATGGAACGATTTGTTCAGTACACATGCGTACCTAACCGAAAGACCCGTACGGAAAATATTCGGTACAAATACGTGTAACCGTTGCACCCCTAATATATATATATATACTGTATTTTTTATCTGACTCTTGATACATTTCTTAGGATTATTTGATGAATAGAAAGTTCAAAAGAACAGCAGTTTTTGAAATCTTTAGTAATATTATAAATGTCTTTACTGTCACTTTATTGTCACTGATCAATATAGCTTTTGAAGAGAACAGTTCCTGTAATGTGAAGAGCTTGCGTTCTTGGACCTGTGTGGCATATGGTATGAAAACAAAGGATTGTCACTTTCCTCTTTCCTTGGCCAAGACGTCCTGTAGGTGCCATGAAGCCCCCTGCTGTTTTCTGGCCTGTTGAAGGTCTGTCCTGTTGGGCTTGGCAGGCACTGCCTCACCACTGCTTCCTCATGAATCAGTGTTTCCAAAATGATAGTTGCATCTCGCTTTGCTTTTTCTTTAGGGATATTGCATTTGATATGGCATTTGTTCTCACACATCTTCTCGATGGTCTTGTAATGTACCAGGTTACCTTGACAGAACTGGCATTTATATGCAGATTTGACTGTCTCTGTGACTCTTTTCTGAAACTTAGTGAGCTGCTTCCCTAGACGGCACTTTAAGGCTTCGCAATCATGTGACACAAAGCCTGTTCTGAAAGTTAAGCGACATAATTATGCTGCCTTCTGAGTAGGGGTGTTTTCTCCGAGGAAGCAGCGGTGCCTCAGAAATATTCAAATGAGAAAATAATTGACACTACAAAAAACAAATATAAAAAATAAAAGATCAAATAGCGTGTAAAGCAGTCATTTTTCAACAGCAGATAAAGTTTCAGAGAGAGGCAGCATCTCATTTTCCTCCCATATGCTCATTGCGTTCTCACTGAGGTCCTGTAACTGAAATGACTTTAGAGGAAGCGACGCCTACACTCTGCTGTGATTGGCTTTCGGTGGAGTAATGGCTGCCATGATCTTGTTTTCTAATGGTCCGTAAATCTTCCTGAATGGGTCAAACTGAACACATCTTTGGGAATGAATGGAAAACTTAAAGCACTCAGATGTCACTGCTTTCAGTCACGTCTGAATTGAAATATACATCGAAAACAATGCAAAAGCAGTGGAATACTAAAACACATTCTGTGTGAACGTCTCAAGACTCATTAAAGGTCCCATATTGTCAAAACTGAAATTTCCTGACTTTATTTCACGGTAACTGAGGTCTAGGTGCTATGTAACTACCATATAAGTTTCTGCTCCAGAAAGGTGTAAAATATGTGACCTTTAAGACATTTTTATATTTTTGAAGGATATTGATATCTTCTTTTTACTGAAATATACTGCTTAATTAATAATAATAAAAAAAGATGATTACTGTTTAAAATACTCTTTTTATAATCCAGTCTTTCCCTGTGATGGCGAAGCATCATTTGTAGCAGCCGTCTCTTAAGAAAACAGTGTATCATCTCATCCTTAAGGAATCATTAAAATATGGTAATTTGGTACTGTGGTGCTTAATATTAGCACAGTTGAGGACAACTGTGCATCACGAGGATTTTTTTGAAGAACAGAATTTATTTGAAATAGTCATTTGTTATCAATCTCTGATTTTAATCAGTTTCATGCCACCCACTCAGACAGTTTCATAGTGATTCTAAACTTGAACCGTTGAATAAATGGGAAATATTGGAATAGAGAAAATAACAGTTTTTTAACAAACAAAAAAAGTAACATTTTACAGCTTTTGGAAACAACTTGTTCATCTTAGCGCAAGTAAAAATTTGTGCTCTTGCTGATGAATTTGATGGATTTTCTGGCCTGGTACAAACAATTACTGTTGCACTGGGTCACTGTTGGAGATGGGAAAATTCCAGATGAATTAAGCTACTAAAATATCTCTGATTGCTGCTGCTGACGTCACTAAAACACAGTGTTCCCAATCTTTAACATAGCATCCTATTGTTGAGATCAAACACTTCAGATTGTAGAAAAAAATGCACATGTTAGACACACAGACTGACTCTTTAATACAGTGTTGTCATGCTGGTTCATTTGATTTATTTGTTAAACCTTGGTGTTACCCATGGGAGCACATGCATTACATATTCTAGACT